GGCCCGAAACTGGGGTTGAAAAAGTGCGGAGAAAATGACTTCAACGCACAGGCTCTCAAGTGTTTGCAAAGCTCAGTTTCGAAGTGTTCATGTTGTGTGCAGATGTGTGTTTGCATCCTTAGATTCCAGAGTGTTCTGGCATCTGTCTTTGTCGACTCTAATTGCTGCGCTTTGGTTTTGTCTTTTATGTTCAACGAAAGGAAATTGAATTCGGTGCCCGAAAACAATTTCTGTCTTTTGCGTTCATCTTCGGACTTTTTGGAGTAACGGTTGGAAGTGTAGGAACAGCTTGCCAATGTCGAAAAGACTGAGATGTGGATCGGCTTTAGGTGGCAGTAACCGCCCAAATGCAGGGCCGGTTTTAGGGGGTTGAAAACAGCTCAAAAGCGTTGCCGCGGACAAGGGGCCGCCACAGTGCTGACTTCCACCTTTTTTCCGTTTGGTTCATAAAATTATATTCCGCCAAACGGCGTAACTCGGCTGTTGTAGAGAAATCAAGGCTTCAAGATTCATGCGAGCTCTAGGCGGCACTGTAACAAAACACGCTGGTTTTCAAGAATAGGCACAAAGTGCTGTTGTAGCTTTCCGTAGCAGACTCCTGTTTTGCAGCATGCTGACCTTGCTCCATCTGTATGGGGTGACTGAGCAAATTGTAAAAGATGGCGGGCGCGACGTTTAAAGCGGCCGCTGCAAACGCCACACCCTCCAGTGGTCGCAGCGTTTAAAGCGGCGACCAATGTTGCGCAGAACGAGTGGCCTGTCAAAACGCAGCAGCTGAAAAGAGTCGCAGCGTTTAAGCGCGACCAATGTTGCGCAGAACGAGGGCCAGTCAAAACGTAGCATTTTTTTTTGAAATGCGGCGTTTCAAACGGCAGCTACTTTCTGATTTTGCAGAGCAGATTGCTCAAGCTCGTAGTGGCCATGGCTCGGACAGTGCAGAGTGCCATGGCAAGTCGGTGGTCCGGTGAGCGAGCGTCCATGGGCCCTGCAGGCCGTGACAGACGAGTCTGATCTGGAATCGGCAAGGCGGAGAACACCTGGACAGAGGAGCAGAAGACAGATCAGAAGCAGTACGGGCCGGTTCCGTCGTTGTGGACATGCTTCTGGTTCTGCAGTCCAGACGACTGCAGCTTCTTCTTAGAGGGACAATCAGCAATTCGGACGCTTTTTGAGGCTTTCAACCAGTACTTTGTGCCCATCATTAACCACAGTTGAATGATGCCATCGTGGTTGGAGGCTGCAGTGCCGATGTTGAATTGGACGAGATTTCCTTTCGCTCCACTGGTCGTCAAGTTTGACACCGCGTTTCGCGCCAGAGTCGGGGAGCAGGCGGCCCCATTTCTGTGGAAGAAATGTGGTCGGCTCTGCCTTTGGACGCTGACCAGCCAATTCTGGCAAAGGGAAGTGTTTGCCACACTGATGGCGCAAAAGCGTATCGGATTATCGGTGGTTGTCCAGTCCATTGAACGATGGAACTTTGGATAACTTTGGTAGACGCTGCGGGTTTGAAGCTTGCACACACGTGTGTGAAGAGAACAAGCCGCCCCACCCAGAATTTTCGAAGAAAATGCGGGTCCAGGATTGGGTTGGGGACCACTACGAGGAGCAGGCAAGAGTTGGAGAAACCCAAAAAATAGATGGTTTTTCGCAAGTTTCAGACGTGTTGTAGGACAACGCCCTTTCAACACTGCAGGAGCAGCTAATGCATTTCCATGTGCGACTTTTCCAGTTGAAGCACTGGTTTGGAGGCCAGGATATGTTTGCCGTTTTTGGAAAGCTTCGATATAGTCTCAAAGAGACGTTGGGGCAGTGACTTAGGCATCCATCCGCCTTCAAGCCGCCTTACGTAAACCCGGAACCTGTACAGCGCAATCCGGTGTCTTTCGGAACGGAGTGCAAGTCCTCACCTTGGACTGAGTCCTGGCAAAGCGAAAACAGCTGTTGTTGACGGTGGGAAGAACTAGACTATGAAGCAGTGAGTGTTGGAAGCGAAAAGCAAGCCACAAAACGTTTTTTTCCGCAGGCGGCGCGCGCTTCGCACGCGAATTTCTTTTCAGTTAATAATTAGTTACCGCGCGAAACGCTGCATGGTTACTGGTCCGAACTCAAGCCTCTTCTGCATTTAGTATGCAGTCCAATCCGACGACTTCAATGTTTCCTATCAACCCGCGATGTTTTTTTTTTTCAGTTCATGCGGCCTTCCGTTTCGCATGCCGCCAGCTGGCTTTTCTGTGCAAATCCCGGAATGGGACATTTGCTTCACACCTGCACACACGTGGCATTGGCCGTCGACGGCGACCTTGTCTCCGTCCATTTCCTCACTCTCCACTGTCGCTCCGCGAACTTGGCGAAAGCTCCTGCCATCCCGCTGACGCGTTTAGCGTGCCTTGTGACAGCTGACTTGGGTCGCCTGCGGCGTGCGGGTTGGCCTTTTACCATGTGCCGGATGGCAGGCTTCATCGCTTGTCCATAGTGTGCATTTCTGGATGCGAGTCCAATTCTGGCATTAATTGGAGGCCGCAGGCGATTTGCCCGAGTCTGGCGCTGCATGATTGCTCTCCCCAGTCATCAGTGGAAGCAGGCGTATCGGTGGCTCAGAAACGCCCGCCTCCTGCGGATTCGGTTTGTATCACTTGATTACGCTCAAGCTCTTGTGCTTGGGTGCATGGTTTGCTCTGCGAGGTCTTTCAAAGCGTGTAATTACCGCGCCTTGCGCTGCTATCAGGCGACTTGCCGTTTGTGCGATACGTTGCACCGTGCTTGTGCTGGTGGCTTCTTCTCGCTCGACCGGCGACTTTCGCAAGGCGCGGCTATTGGTGTGTGCGCCACTGGCGTGGCTCGGCTCCTGAACGCACGCTCTTCAGCGTGTGTGTTTCCATGTGTGAGTTCCGCCGTGGGCCTCGGCAGTCTGACTTGCCATGGACTTTAGTGTGCACGACAACGCGGAAACGGGGCTTGCGGGGCTGCTTGTTGTCCGACGGGACTAGAACGACGGCCGGAGACCTTTTCTTGGGGGATCCACCGCTGGGTGGCAACTGGGCGACGGCCCTTTGCTGCTTCTGCTTGTCGCTGCGAGCTGTTTTGTACACTTTAGCGTTACTGAACAGGGTAACTTCGTAGATTGTGAACCTGCAGTAGTTCTGAGCCGGCTCTTGTTTCACCGCTTCTTGATGGTTTGTTGGTTTGTTGGTTTAGCTTGGGACCGAGCGCAGCTGACGCTGTCAACGAGGCCCGCATCCGCAACCAAACAAACCAACCCGCGATGTTTTTGGAAAAGCTTTGTAGCTTTGTAGGTCTGCATTCGGAATGCTTGAGTTGCTGCACTTTTCGGACGCTTGCAACGAACCTCAGCAATCATGTCCTCTTGCTGTCGTTTCGTATTGCAGTGCCCCTGGTGAGAAGCATGATCGCCGTGTGTTTTAGGGCTTCTGGATCTAAATTTGCATGCGGGCATACTCGGGATTCAACAAGCATACTCTTGCAGTTCAGTCATATCGCATTTCCGGTTTTTGCGTGCAAAGTAAGACTGGGCCCAAACTACGACTCCTAGCGAAAACGGCATGTACCCCCCAAGGTGGCAGAGTGATGTAGGTCATCGTTCCGGTAGTCCGTTACTTGCTACTTGTCTTGATGCATGGTGATAACGTACGTAACCAACGCTGATAACCTTTCTGCCTTTCCCATACTTCCCAGGGTGCGTGAGGCTCGTTCTTGTGCAACATATCCCTCAAGCTTTAGGACAAGACGAGCTGGACATTTTGGTGCTGGCAAGGAATGTAACTGTTGAAGTATATAAGTTCCAAATCCAGTTCACTTGTTTGCGTTCGGGTTCAGCTCCGTGCACACATGGCCAAGCAACATGCATGGGTATGCCGTGCAGCCTGAGTTGAACACAGCCGCTGCCCAAGAGAAAGAAGAACGTTCTGGTTCCTATGACTCCGTACAGGCATCTGGTCTGGCCGCCTTCCTTGTTGAAGCTGACATACGCCTCGTCAGGGGAGATTATCTCCGACAGCGGCTAGTAGAGGGCGGTCGGCTGCCCAGGCGCCAAGAAGCTGAGGAGCAGACCTGCGCTACGGACTTTGGCCAGGCAGCCTCGGCTCTCGTGAGCCATGAGGAGGTCCGGAGTTGGGCTGCAGGCGACTCGGATAATGTTAGGGCATTTGGTTCTCAGCTACAATGATATGGATATGGATCTATGGTCAACGATTGTCTAGTAGGGTTTCCCTTTTGTGGTAGCTCAACCTCAACTTCTTAACAAGAGCCCAGGTGACGCGAAGGCTAGCATCCTCTCAGTTTCCCATTGCTGGGAAGCCAGAGAGCATCCGGATCCCCAGGGATGGCAGCTGAGTCAGCTTGTAAACTATCTCACCTTGCACCAGCTGGTGAACCCGCCCGCATGGGTTTTTCTGGATTACACCTCGCTGTACCAATACAAGCGCACCACGAGTTTGCAGCAGCTGAGCTTTTCGAGGGCGATGCAGCACATGCAGCTGATGTACTGCCATGCATGCACCAGCACTATCAGGATAGAAGGGCTGACTCCACCGACCCACCGTCTCCATGACCTTGTTGCCATATACTTGGAGGACACAGGGGAAGTTCAAGAAGTGGATATTATCATGTTGGTGCCGAATGGAAATCCCTACCGCAGGCGAGGATGGTGCGCGGCAGAGCTACAGTGGTCGTTGCTGCGAGGTGCCACTGCCAAGTCCACACGCATTGATGATTGCAAGGAAGATGAGGTTGAAATATTGGAGATTGGTGGGCAAACCTATGTTTTGGATTGCGCCGCACCAATGCCCCCTGAAGTCTTCCGAGACTGCGTGAAAGCTGGTGGCCTTTGCTTCACGCACCGATCGGACCAAGACACCGTTTTTGCTTTACAGGCTGAAGTCTTTTTGGCAAAGGCTGCATCTTGTGCAGTGCTGCTGCTAGAGCGATTGCCGCAGAGCGAAGTGGGCATCCTGGCTGTGGCTTTACCATTCCACCATCGCCTCACTGCACTTCGCTTGAAGGCTTGCCAGTTGGTGTGGGACTTGGACGGCCAGGAGGATGTGGATTGGTGGAAGCGCAAGAAGGTGCTACGCAAGGAGGCGACACAGCTCTTCGAGGCCTTGCAAGAGATGGGGTCCATCACGGAGGTGTCCTTCACTTGTTGCAACGGCGGCGATGCTTTAGCCCAGGCCGTCGCAGGTCTGCTGAAGATCAACAAAAATATTCGTCTCGTCAATCTGGAGCAGAATTTGATCACGGACAAGGGTGCCAACTTCCTGGCAGAAGCACTCCAGTTCGACAATTTAGTTGGGCATCTAGACCTGTCCTGCAATGAGATCGGCAATGAGGGGGCGCAGGTCCTTCGGTCGCTTTGTGGCCTCGCCCTCAACCTGTCTGGAAACCTTGGCGTTGAAGCCGCCGCCAGTGCCGAAGGCAAGTGTGACGCGTCGGGATGGCCGGGGGTGGACCCGGAAACGGACGTGGAGCCAGCCTCAGATGCCGGGCCTCTTGGACAACTTGGAGGCAAAGTGGTTGCAGAGTTGCTGAAGTCCAACTGCGCCATCCGGAATCTGGAGCTGGACGGCAAAGGCATCGACGATGTCGGGGCGCAGGCCCTGTGCCACGTGCTCACTGCAAACACAGCGCTGCAAACGCTCAGCCTCCGCCGCAACATCGTGGGAGTGGCAGGCGGGGAGGCCTTGGGCCGTGCACTTGCGACCAATGCCACGCTGCACAAGCTCGACCTCTATGCCAATGGCCTGGGCGACGCTGGCGCCGAGGGCTTAGCATGGGGCCTGCATCTGAACTCCACGCTGCAGTCGCTGACGGTGGGTGGGAACGACATCGGCGACGGTGGTGCGAAGGCATTGGCCGCAGCCCTTCATAGCCACGGAGCAGTCCGTGTGCTCTTCATCGGTGGCCAGAACATCGGGGACTCCGGGGCCGAGGCCTTCGCTGAAGCCCTGGAGAGCAACACGGCCCTGGAAGAGCTGATCATGTGGTGGAACATCATTGGGGATGCTGGTGCAGAAGCTCTGGCGCGGTCCCTTCTCTTGAATAGGACCCTGCGGGAGCTCAAGGTCCTCGCGAACACCATCGGCGAAGCCGGGTGTAAGGCGCTGCAGGACGTCCAAGACGCCAAGCGCCAACGAGGGGAAACGTTTTTCATTGAGGGCCTGGAAGGACAGAGGTCGCCCCACGGCCTTAGGCCGAAGGTGTCGACTTTCTAATGAATGCAGAGGGCCCAGAAGACTTGGTATTCTTCACTCCGTTTTTCCACTTCGCTTGTCTTCGCTTAAACTGTCCATGCATGTCCAGCCGCGCTGAGAAATTTGAATTGATCCTTCGTTTCCTCAAGAGGCCCACCTAGCCCATGAAACCGTCCCTACCCCAAGTCTGTGCTGCCAGCAAGCCCCGAAATCATTTTCCCTTAAATCGATTTGCCTCTCAGTTCTTGCAGGGTCTCGTTCTTTCCTAGGGAGTCTTAGGGAGACCCTTTAGAGGGGACCCTTCTGAACCTACTTATGACCCCCATATCTTTCCAGGGTCCCCCTAATCCTACCTCCCGCGGTTCTTCGTGACGCTGGAACCTGGGTTTTCCAGTTGTTTGCACAGCAGGCAGGTGCCCGCGTGCCACGGTCCCTTTCGCGGTTGATGCGGGAGCTGCCTTTTCGGCTGAGGATGGCTTAAGGTTCAGGGGGGATTCAGGTTTAGTCAGTTGAAGGTTCGGGGAGTTTAGTTCGGGGTTGAGGGTCGAGGGTTTGGGGTTCCGGTACCGGTGCTCGGCGTTGCTGTGTGTCGGGCTGCTGCATTACAGATTTCTCTCGACGCGCATTCTTCTGGAACACAACTTAAGCCGGATGCTCCGTTTGTGGGTTCTTGTTTCCTTGGGACATGTCGAGCAGCTATGCAAAGCACCTCGCAGCCCGGAGCCAGCTCAGCAATGTCGCCGATACATGGAGTAGTTATACTATAAGGGTTTAAATTAAAGGCCTTATTTTTTTAGAGTAGGGTTTTTGGGGCCCATGATACTATAGTTATAAGAAGGAACCCCAATGTAATATTGCCAATTATTCAGGCCCCTAGAACAGTGCGGCGATCCTTGCGGTGAGGAGACCTAGATTCAGCTACCCCTACTTTTCATGCCGCCGCATCCCCACCTCATGCTCTTCAACTTACCCGGCCGACCCAGAGTGCGTAATACCTCCTACTTACAGAATATGTGGTTCTGAAGAGTCTTACACGGCTTCCTATTCAAGCTTCGTTCAAGAATATATGGTTACGGAGGGGGTTTCTAGACGGCTTTCTATTGAGGCTTCGTTAAAGAACGAGCCCTGTGCGAGGCGCGGAAGACTTTCTGGTGAGCGCAGAGCTGTCGCGCCGCTGCGAGCAAAACTCGGGGATGAGATTTCAGGCTTTGGGCTTTAGATCCCTTCAATTCAAAGACCCAAAGCTCAGAAGCCACTGAAGCCCTGAATCCACAACCCCCCGACCTCCCGAAACCCTGAACCCCAAACCGAAATCCAAAACCCCCAGACCTCTGAACCCGAAACCCAGAAACCCCTTGAGCCCTAAATCCGAAACTCGACGCCCTAAGCCCTCAAACTTAAGCCCTAAACCCTGAACCCCTAGACTAGACCCTTTAGCTTTTTGATTCACGTTGCATTGACAGGCCGCAGCCTTTCTTGTGTCTGTTGGTGTTTTCCTCACATGACAGACATCAAGGCCCAAGACCCCTGAGTTAGGGAATATACCATATATACTCATACTTATGCCCTAAGATCCAGCGTTTAGGGTTTAGGGTGCATTCCTTTCCAAATTAAGGAAACAGTGGGCTCTTTCCCGGCAGCCATGGCCCGAAACGATGGCGTTGCCGCAGCCCTGGCAGCGCCGATCTTCATGGTCGTCGGCTTTATCTTCTGGGAGCAGCACTGGAAAGGCACCCTAAACCACCCTATACCCTAATCCCTAAACCCCTAAACCCTGGAATTGCTTTAGGTCTTGGTTTGGGGTTCGGCACATGTGGCCTTCTTTGATATTTTGCGATGATGGGACAGAGGGCTCCGGCTTGCTGTCGTAGTAGCAGCAGCACTCAAGCCGTAAGCCCGAACCCCTTCATGTTAATCTTTTCCTAAAGCCCCACAATCCTCTTGGCAGGCAGCGCGCTGGAGCTCAACATCTTCAAATGCTCCTTGCCGCAAAGATTTCTTCGCGTGCGTAGAATTGAAGCTTTCCGTGGGGACGAAATGGCGCTCAAACTTAAGGGCCCTGTATACACTGTCACTTCCGGTATGGTCAATCAACCGAGACCCATTTAGGGGCTAGGGTATATTACCTGGCTCATCTGCAATAACCCCGAGAGCCTAATACCCCTCAGGGAATCTACCTCAGATTATAGAAGCCCTATTCTTATGAATTCGGTGATCTTTCTGAGCTAGGGCTCTCTGGGTACTCTTAATCGAGAACTTTGAAAGGGAATACGATGGACCCTTCAGAAGCGAAAGCGTATATGCCGGATGGAATCGGGCATTGAGTTGTTCTTGGGCTTAGGATGGAGGACTTTAATTTTGGGTTTAGGATTCGCGATGTAATTTCGGCTTCCAAGGGGTTTCTACCAGTTCTCCTTCTCGAAAAACCGAATCGAGCAACGACTAATGGACGGTGTTGGGGTTTGGGGATTTCAGGTTTAGGGGCTTTCGTTTCTTTGAACCTTTTGGCAATTTGATTCTCTGTTGTGGATGTTGCCTCCAAGCTTCCACTCTTCGTAAATTAGCACAAGTCGTACGGCAGCAGGTCAACATACTCGCAGACATGCAACTGTACACATTTCGCCCTAGACCCTGGACCTCTAACCCTCTGAACCCCTAATCCCCTAAATCCCTTAAGCCCTTTAGGCCCTAAACCCCTAAACCCTTAAACCCTAAACCCTTTAAGCCCTAAATCAAAGGGCCGAGTCCCCTTGAGGTAGCCTTGCTTCCGTTCTTTGTGCCGGCACCATCGCCATCAGCACCGGCCTGGCGCATCTGGCAGAGGCGAGAATTGCTGGTAACCAAAAGGGTTTAGGGTTTAGGGTTTAGGGTCTATTATGGAATAAGGTCCCCCAAAAACTATAATGAGGATGGTCTGTTGGGACTTAATTCCATAATCGTAGTGTATATGGACCCTTTGGGAGCACCGCTGCTAGAATGTTGACTCGTACCGATGTCTCTATCTACTAGTTCTAGTACTAGTACTCGTACTACTACTAGTACTAGTAGTAGTAGTAGTAGTAGTAGTAGTAGTACAAGTCGTAGTAGTAGTAGTAGTAGTAGTAGTAGCAGCAGTAGTAGTAGTAGTAGCACTAGTAGT